TCAGAAATACCAGTGCAAAGCTTTTTTTCTTTACACTTGATAGAGTGATAGAATGTTTTAAAGACCATGGAATTAATTGTATTTAAGGAGCTATGAAGACTTGTATGCATTAAAGTAATTGTATATTTTGAAGTATTTGGTGATGGGATTTTTATATAATATGGTGGAAGACAGAGACACTTCATTTGGTATCTAGGTTTTGGCTCTGGGTAACAGTAAAGACAAGGAAGACATCACTGAAGATTGCCCAGATCCCTTTGTCATTCTTCGCTACAGAAATATGGTGAAAATATAAAGCTATTTGGATAAAGACAAATAACACGAGTGATTTCCTGGCAGTCTGAGCAGCCTTTGGATGACCTCTTGGTTAATCAGCCATCATTGCATGATTCTGCTCCTCAGAACTACAGAATTTTGAAAATCTAACCCACAGTTTCCCAGGGATATTCACTGTATGTCCTCAGCAACCTGATTTCATCCTGGTCTGAAGGAGGATATTGTGGAGGGAAGAGCTCAAATGTTTACATAAAGTTTGACAGCTACTGTTGACTCCTGTAATTTTGTAGAATTTCAAAGAAAAATTGTCTTATACTGTGAACAGTTGATAAAAGTGTAATGTTTAGCTAACATTAAATGCCAGCTCAGATTGGTAGCTATTGCATCCATGATTTTAAAGAAGAAAATGACTTGTCTTCAGTTTTCAGGGGAGCTCTGTCCATGAGCTGTTGTTGGGGACACTCAGACAAAAGCAGTAGCTTACATTGTTCTGGGCATTGTCATGCTTTGGAGATGGGAACTGTGAGCACACCCTTTCCCCCAGTGATTGACTATACATTTGAAATACTTCTGGTTAGTGGTGAGACTCCAAATAAATCTCTGGCTCACAGCAAAAGTATCTGCATGGCATGTACAGCACAACACAGCTCTGTTTCAGGGGATCCTGAGACATCCCAGCTTACCCTGTCAGATAAAATACATAGTTAAAGCTTATTTTGGTGGACTTTGGTTAGATATACATTAAAATAAAATAAAATAAAATAAAATAAAATAAAATAAAATAAAATAAAATAAAATAAAATAAAATAAAATAAAATAAAATAAAATAAAATAAAATAAAATAAAATAAAATAAAATAAAATAAAATAAAATAAAATATGCACTTAGTAGCACTGTCAGTAAATTGTGACACCGCTCTGTAAAGAACACACACTAAACAAAATCTTCCATTTAAGAAATACTACATAGCTCTTAGGAAAAATCCTGAAAAAGGGTAATCACTGTTCATTTAATTTGTCTGTATCACCCACAAAAATGTATCCAAGTATCTCACAAATGTTTAGTATTAATGATGATGAGAACACATTGTTCTTAGAACTCAGAATTGGGATTTATTCCTATTTTGTTGTTGAAAAACCTCAAGCACTGAAATGCCAGGGGAGGGAAGGCTCGGAATAAATCTGCAGTAGGCACGGTTTGGTTTGAAGCAGACTGTCTGGCCATGGTGAATTAGGCCATGGCACAAGGCTGAGCTCCTCATGTGCAGGTGATTGCTGTGATTGCAGCCCAGCAGCAGCTGGGATTGCCAGGGGAATCAGCTCCCTGACCTTCCTTAATTGGCAAAACCAGGAGTGTTCCTATAAAGTAAAAGCCAACACAAAAATGAGGAGCAAAGGTAAATAATAAATCCATGTATTGTCAGTTATTGTATTTGAAGGGCACTTGAGCTCATTGGTTTGAAGTGTTGAGCCAGAGGACTTTAGAGCTAACATTTCTGGGGCCAGAGTGCAGGGAAAAGGGTTGGGCACAGGCTGTGGGGTGACAGCAAAGCTGCTCTCAGGAAAGCTGCTGGGTGCTTTAATTTGTTTAGTGGTCTCATGTGCCAGCTGCAGGTGTCTGTGTCCTGCACTGTAGTGTTCTCTGGGGGAGCAGCAATCAGATCTTCCCTTGTGCTCAGTGGAGAACCCACTATCCTGGGTTTAATATCAGTGGGCAGTACACTGTGGACAGAGATCAGAAATGCAGAAAACCTGCTTTTATTTGGTGATTCGTGGCATTTTCACATGGAGTGTGTATTGTAGGCCTGTGCTGGAGAACCTAAAGGACAGAGCAAAACTTCATTCACTTCTACCAGTTGTTCTGATGCAAGACAGTATCAGCAGCGCCTCAAGTTACCATCCTTATTATTAATAAAATAGGTTGCCTTTTTTGTGGCTCCTGAAGAACATTCCTTGCCATCTACCATGGGCAGCTGTGAGAAAGAATAATTCCCCTTGAGCTCCTGAGCCCACCCTCTCCTCACCTGGCAGCGTTGAGGCCAGAGCAGCTGTGCCTGCCTGGATCAGCACCTCCCCTACTTCTCTGAAGGGATGTGGAAGAGCTTCAAGCTGAGGTGTGAGTTTCTTGTCACTCTGTGCAGCATTTCTGTTTACAGTACTGGAGCCTGTAACTTTAAGAATGTAGCTTATATACAAGGTATGCTAAAATAAATTAATAAAATGGGTTTTATTCATTCCAATTGCAAACTTTGTTTTGCTAAAAATAGGTCCTGTGCTTTGAGCATATTAGCTTTGTGTGTAGCTGTCTCTGCCCTTCTGGTTTAATGTCATTAGCCAAATCTGACTTTCCCAGACTATTTTGTCCTTAGACAAATCTCTCACTATATGATTTTTTGCATTATTTTTTTTTTAATAGGAAAGGTAGTGGTGGGAAGCAAATACACTCTCTGCTTTAAAACATGAAGAGATAGAATTAAAAGCTGCCATTTTCCAGAGCAGGACAAAACGGTTTCCAGCTCTTGGCCTTCTGAAAGCGTATGGAGCCAGGGGAAATGAGTCTGTAGTCGCAAGAACAAAGAGCCATAAAATTCTTAATCTTCTGGAAACAGAAAAAATTCAACATGACCTCTGCCTGGGTGGGATAAAAGGCTCCACAGGGAAGTCTTGTTTCCCATGGATGCAGCTGTCCTGTCTTCTGGTGTTGCTGAGGACTGTTGGGCAACTGGTTTGAAAACTCAATCTGTGTAGAGCGTAACTGCATTAATTCCAGTATTGACCTGGAATCACATTAATTATATCTGGGCCTTAATAATTGTTGGCTTCAAGCTAAAAAGGCAAATTGATTTCATTGATGTTAAAAATCCACCTTGGTGCTAAAGCCATTGAAGCAGAGAGTACTGGGAAGGGCACAGTGCTAAAACCAGACTTGCTGTACACACTGCATTTCCTTTGAAACTGAGTTTAATTAGGGTGTGAGGTGCCAGATCCTGAGATGTTAAATTAAGTATTTATAATGTGTATGAAGCAATTCAAAAAGATCTTCAGCACTTTTGTGACCAAGTCTGTGGCAGCTTTTTTATGGAGTATTGCTGACTGAAAGCTAAGTCAGTCCAGGAAAAGTGTTCATCAGCTGTTCCTTTGATCCAGCCAATTGTTTTACTGATACCTACAGTGCTAATTAATTCCCAGCCTCATGAAATGGGGACTCTTGTCTCTCATCCCAAAGCAGGGAATTAGCCCTTAGCACAGCACATGACTTTTGATTATTATATCACAACCTTTTTGTCAATAATGTGGTTTTGAAGGTAGAAAATCCCAACTAACAGTGGTTTGTGGCTGTTCCCTATGCAGACTTTAAATTCTGGTGTTTGCAGAGGCAGCACATGGTCAGTACAGCCCAAGGGAACTCCTGTCATGTTCGGAGTGTGATGCTTTCACACTGTCAGGCCTAACAGTGCCAAAAAATTGCTGAGACAAAAGCTGACGTGTGGGAGGGGCCCAGTGGTGTCCACATCTTAGAGTTCACCTGAGGCTTTCTTCCATTTCTGTACTGTGTGTGTAAGATGAGAACACTGAAGAGGCTTTTTTGGGAACAGACTATATTGTCTTTAAAGCATTAATCAGGCAGATACTTGGAAGGCAGTGCTTGAGGTCCAAGTCAATTTCTTCTAGTCAGAGCAGTTCAGTGTGGATGTTATTTCTGCACCTGAACAAGCTAATTATTTTGGGAACTCACTGAAGGGTGATACCTGAATTACCGGGGAAAGCTGTGACAAGGGTGGATCTGGGCTAAAATGATGATTGTTACCAGATTTTCCTGCAGTTCTGTAAGAGCAGCTGAGCCTGCACTGTGCTGCTCTAGTCCTTTAGCATGTTATTAAAGCTGCCTGGCTTCTCTTATTGAGTTGGATGCACTCTGGCACCAATATGTATTACGTATGAGTGCCTTATGTGTTTAAAAGGCAGAGTTCCTCCAAGATCCTGCCTGGAGGGAATGAGTCCAACTGACTCAATACTTCTAAATCACATCTTTATAGAAGAGGAAATTCACCCTTTGGTTACATTATGGAAGAGAAGCATTTTAACTGTAATCACTCCTACAGGAAGAGTTTATACTGTAAGAGTAATGCAGTTTGCAGTGTGACTGTGGGTTCAAATGGAAAAGCAGCCCTGGCAAATAACCCCCTTTATAGACCTGATGCAGCTTATTTGTAGCTACAGTTCTGGATATAAAACTCCCATGTGAGAACAAAACCCAAGTGAAAACAAATGGGACTTGCTGTGAAACTGCACAGCTGCTCTGTCACATCTTCCTTGGCGGCTGAGAATGGCCGGGACTGTCCTGCTCATTTGTGTTATTTCTTTGCCCAAGCCTCCTGCCGAAGCCTCTGAAATTACACTCTTGTAACTGCAGACAGAAATTTGCAACATGTCTGTAGTGACCAGCCTTGAACTGCCAGTGAATAAAATGCTTCTGAAACTTCTCATCAATTCTACTGCCCTTCAGCTCAAACCCCGAGGTGCTTTTGTTCCCTATTAAAAGCAATTCCAGTTAGGGACCAGAGCCCTCTCCTGTTGGAGAGGCCCCAGCACAGCTTTACCAAGGGCTACCCTAATAAAGGCTTTCTGACTTTGGTGTTAACCCCCATGTTCAACAAATGTTTGCAGCAGAAATCATTTCAATTCCTGTTAGAGCAATTTGTCAGTACAGGCAAGACTGCTGGAGGGGTTAATTGTAAACCTTTGTAAAAATTAATTACTGATTAGTGTTTGATAGGCTGAGGTTTAAAAAAAAAAAAGGATAGACCATTATGAAGAAGACAAAAAGGGTTGGTGTCTTGTATCATAGGAAAATCTTGGTAACTTGGACAATAACTCCTAATGGAGAACTCCACACTTCCTAACTTCTCCATTTTTCTGCTTGTGACATGCAATATAGATGTGAAACTGTTGCCAAATGACTTTTCAGGAGGAACTGATCCAGAGTAAGTGAGGAAGAGAGTTCTGGTGTTGCAGGTCTCCTGTAATCGTGTACCTTTTACAGCCAGACAACAACAGAGGGCAATAGATCTCTAGAAAAGATCGCGGCTGCAGAAGGGTTTCCAGTCGATCACGGTGATGGCGATTTCGGCAGCTCTCTGCACGGCCTCGCTGGGATCATCCAGACACTGCTGAAATGTGTCCCTGTGATCCAGCAGTGTCTTGCGGCCCTCCGGCAGCTCAGCCAGCAGGGTGAGGGTTTTGATTGCATTCAAACGCGCTTTGCTGGTTTCCTCAGCAACCAGCGTCAGTAAAGGTGGAATGGCTTCAGCACCCATGGCTGAGGATCTCCCTGCAGGGAAACAAACTGGCTTTGAAATGTGTTTTGACATCCAATCATCATCCTTTTGGACTGACACGTTCCATTCCCTGCCCAGCTACAGCTCTGAACAGCCCTGCAGGTGCAGTGCACAGAGGGAGAACATGCTATTCTTTCGGAGACCAAGGTTGGCTCACAGCTGTTTATTTTTAAATAAAAAGATCTTTCATGGTTAACTTTATCTGCCTTGCACATTAGTATTTCATTTGCAACAAATTATCTAAAAATATATGAGCACTAAACGATAGAATAAACTATGTTTTGGAGGGGGGTGAGATGAGTGGAGTGTGTTGGATGCCCTTAAGAACATCTTCCAGTCTTTCGTTTTTAAAAACACTTCAAAGACCAAGATCCTCTCCTGAGTTGTCTTTGGAAGCCCGAGGAAGGTTTGCAGAGGAGGAATGGAACACAACTGCTGTTATTGAGTCTTTTATGTCTAATTACTCATTCATCATACTGGAGATTTAGCAGTTAGTGTTTTCTGTGTCACGCAAGTTACTTGGGAGAGCTACAGCCCTGATTAATATTCACCCCAGCTGTGAGAGAGGAGCTGCCTCTAATCACAGAGTGTTTCCAGGGAGCAGCGCTCCTCTGCTGAGCACCGGTGATTCGGTGTAGCTCCAGGTTTGTGGATCTCTGTGTGGTCTGGACTTGAACGGAAAATGTTCCCCCTCTGGAGGGAGATGATGCAGGTGGGGTAGATAAAAACTTCCTGACCTACTTAGGGGAATGAAATGTGAAATATCCTGTCCCCCCCAGGCACTGTGACGAAGCAACAATAAAGACAGTTACCAAGAAATCTCCCAATCTTCAGAGTTTCTTGATGAGCACTAACACTGTCAGAAACCGAGGACTTGGGGAGTAGGGGGTGAGTGTTTTGTTATTTAGTTGCCCTAGAACTGGATTTCCACGAGATACCCCAACAGAATTGCATCTGTCTCTCACCGTGAGGTGTAATAATTGCAAACATCAGCGCTCCTGCTGTGCCAGCTTGAACTTCGGGCTGTGTGTCTTGCAGCAGGCTCACCAGCACAGGAATCACCCCTTCTTTGCACACCGCAGTTTTCCCCTCAGCATGAGAACTGTGGAGAGAAGATGGTGAAGTTGCTTTGCTGAGCCTCTGGCCACGCGTGGAGCTCAGCCCCGGCCCCGGCAGCACCGGCACAGGGACTGTCCTGCCCGGAGGCACAGGACAGGCTGCCCAGCCCCGAGGCACCCCAGGGGATGGCTGTGCCTGTGGCTGCTGAACCCTGAGGATACCACCCTGAGCTGCCTGGACGAGCTGCACGATATTTTCGGTTATTTTTAGGTGCTGTCTGGATTTTTAAAAAAAGTTTTCTGTGGTCTGCTGGACACTGATGGGCAGCTGCATGTAACAGGATGGAGCATTAAGGGTGTTGCTGGATCTCATTGCAACGGAGTTACAAACCTGGCTGGTGAAGCATCTAGAGATTTTAAAACCTGCTAAATCAGAGGGCTGAAATGAATTCTCTTCCCAGATCACTTTCCTCTCTTTTTTTCCAGCCTCTTTAATGAGGAGAATATTTAATGTGGCCCAGCCATTGCAGGGACCTAGAACATAGCTCATGTCCATATTTCAGTTGCATTTTGCTTTCTTTCCATGACTCACATTAATTATACTCTTTTCCTCTAAGACTGTTATTATAGGACATGAGGAAATGTGTAGTGCCAGTTGATTTGTAAACTACATCATCTGCAGACCTTTTTAAACTAGACATTTGTTGAACACTTATTATATTGTCTGATTGCAGTACACCGGACTTAAGTTATTCCTTTCATCCATCCTCTGATACACAAATTTAATATAAAGGGTGCTTTTTCTGCTCCATCACTGTTGTATGTGTCAGCCTGTGGCAGAAAACTATTTCTGTCTTCGATCACAGTGAAAGTTTCCAAGGACCTCTAATTTTCTGAGAGAGAGCACTTTTCCACAAACATAAGGGAGATTCTCCCTACCTCCATAGTGTGTCAGAATCCTGTTTCTTCAAGATTTTTCATGCAAGAATTTTTTCCTAGCAGTGCTGTACCAGGAAAAGATCCTGATTCCACTGCCAATATTGAAAACAAACAGAAGGAGAAGGAATGACTGATCAGCGTCTGCTTTCTTCAATGATTTATAGCAGTTAGGAATTTTTTAAGCCCCATGTGTCCCATTTTGCTTTACCCATGTGTGCATTCAAGCTGATAGTGCTTTACATGTGAAATGTGGCTGCTTCAGTGTGCAGTGGAACACAGCTGTAAATGAATGGCATTTATTTACTCCTGGAATTAGTTCTTTCTTGGACTTAAGCATTGGAGAGGTTTCTTTACCTGATTTCCAAGAGGACCCAGGCTGCTTTGCTCCTGATGGCTGTGGAGGGGTGTGAGAGCTTTTCCTTCAGCACAGTAACCACACCAGCTGCCAAGGCTTCAGAAATCTCCACACGGAGACAGTTGGAGAGTGTATCAAGGATCAGCTCCTGGATCTCATCCAACTCTGTCTTCAACTTCAGGACCAGTGGGGGAATCAAAGCGGCCTGCAGGACACCACCAGCCCCTGCAGAGGGGACAGGGAAGGAACGTGGATGAGAGCTGAGTGTGGTTACTATTGCTACCTGCACCTGGAATATCTTCAGAGGATCAAAATACACGTGGGAACTTGTTTCCTTACACAGAAATGGGATTGGGAGATGGAAAGTACTCCAACACTGGCCTGTTTATAAACGTCACCTTAGCATTGCTTCTTTGGGAAGCTTCCTCAAAACTCCTCTAAAGAAATCTTTCTTTGATGTTCCCAGTTTCGCTATAATATTTCTCCCAAAATTATCCTTGCAAGGAAAAAATTGGAAATATATACATACATTACAAAGTCACCTTCTATGAAGCCTTTCTAACTGTTCTCTACATGAACAGTTGCTAAAAGAGGCAGAAATGTTGGCCTTTAGAGCTCGTTCTTTGATTCTCCATGGTGGTTTCTCAAGGGGGGAAGTCAAGATTTTGGGAACTGTCAGCTTCCTCACACATTTCTTTGTAGTAGTTCTGTCAGGGCAAAAATTTAAATTCTGAACTTTCCAGCAGTCAGTACTCTTGCACTGGCTCCTAAAATATAACATCAAAGGCAGAGAGATCACAACTTACCCTGCAAGTGATGTCTTTGCTTTGAGCAATAGTCTGATTTGTACCATTTCTTACCCTTTAATAAGTCAACACTGCAACAGCAATGCCAGGGGAAAGCAGAACGTACTGTCCACGAGTAACTATGTGAAAACAAAATTCTCCAGCTTGTCTTGTTGCTAAGACTGATTCTTTGGTTGCTATGAGAAATGTGGCTCCTCTCAAAGTGATTCATATATGGTTAGATAAGGAAGTTTTGTGGATAGGAGTCATCAAGGTATTTTCAAATTAATCTCCCAGTAGAGACAAGTGGGAAAGAGATTTTAATGACCCTTGGTAGTGCATAGGAGAAATGCCTCACCTTGATAATTGGGTGAAAAACGGGATTCTAACCTAGAGGTTGTTCTGCTGTACATATTTCTGAGGCTTTGCTAATACTGAATAACTTCCTATGTCACTGACTTATTAGGATCCACATTACAATGCCAAGGCAAAGAAATGCCTTGGGGTGATATTACAGCTTTATTACCTGTACTGCATTTGGAGGTCAGTTTCTGTGAGAATCTCAATAAATAAGGAAAACCAGTTCCAAGACAATTCACTTTGAAGGCTAACAGCGTTTCACAAACAAGGATTTCTCCTTGTGCCAGAAAGGCAAAGCAAAGGAAAGTGAAATAATATTCTTTGAAGCTGTGGTTCTGTGTGTCACTACACAGGGGAGTTGGTGCTTTCACAGTGAAAAAAACCCAACCAACCCTGTATTGTTCCCTGGAGGAACAAAAGAAATTTGTCAAAGAGTATCTCCAGCCCATTTTTATTGTCCCTGTGGAAGGATGTGATAAAGAACACCTGCACTATTGCTCTGGCAGAGGACTCTGTTGGAGGTCCCTGGGAACGAGGCCCAGCTCGTCCATCAGCAGGACAAGGATTGCTGGGGTTTGGATTGTACATTATAGGTATAGAAAGCTTTTGGCAGGTTAGACAACAGCAGGAATATGTCTGGGAATTCTCCATGCCTTATGGAATGCCAGGCAGTAGGGAACCCACTAGTGAACTGTTCCCAAGGAAGCAGATTAAAGCAGTTAAATCATATCCACAATTCCTTTAGCCACACTTCCCAACAGTCTTCTGAAATGACCTCTGAAAGACAAGATTTTTCAAATGCAACCTTTTTAACTCCTCCCAAAGGTTTTATTGAAAAGAAACTGTATGGCCTGAGTGCATGAAATTGTGATCCCCAGACTACTCACAGTCACCACATGCACTTCTAATTCTGGGTTGCTGTGGAAATCAGTACAGAATCTCAGTTTGGGGGGTACAGTTTCAGAGGAAGGGTAATAAATCAGAGGTGACAGACTCACACTGCCTGTCACAAGCACCTGTGTGTAGCTTTAGCTCACATGGACCCCAGTGTTCCTTGGGCCAGTCCATAAGCAAACCCTGTTTGCACAGTGCAGCCACACTCTGGTTTGAGCCCAGAGAAACCATTCTTTGATTTAACTTCACTTTCCATCTGTCTGTAACAACAGTCGCTGTAGCATTCCCTTTCTGCCTCCCTCGTGCTGGGAGATGTACTTGACTCTTTCCTATTTCCTATTTCCTTCCTTGCTTTCAAATACTTATTAGCCATTTTTTAACCTGCCATCTTAAGTTTCATTTTCACTTTGCCACAATTCCCTATTTTTCAGGACTTTTTCAGGGCTTGCTTGCTAAGTTCTCTCAATTCTCTTGATCACTTTATCATCATACAGTCAGGAAGTATAACCAGCATTCAGGTTTCACTTCTTTGTGTCTGGATGTTTCAATTATCTTTAATATATTCCACCAATACATTCATCCAGCCAGGGCTGCTTGCACTGGCCCTTGGCTTTATTCCTTCCAGTTAATGTTTATTGACTTTCTTTGCCTCAGTCATCTCTCATTCATTGCACTTCATGTCTTCTTTTGGTGCTGGCCTTTACTACAGCACTGCAGTCCTGGGTGTGAAACCCAACAAAGCCACTTTGTGTCTGTGTCCCTAAGCTGATGAGATGATGTACAGTGTTGTCTAGAACAACTTTGATTTTGTGCAGCCCAAGTAAGCAGTATTTATTCTGGGGCTACTGGTGCTCATTTTGTCTGGGATACTTGGGATGTTCTAATTTATGTTTTTTTTAAATGGATTTTGTTTTACCAGGCCGGGTGCCTCTACCAGGAGCTTTCTTGTCTACTGTTTTTGTCAGGCAGTCTGAGCTCAAATGCTGTCGTGCTACTAGAGGGAGCTTCCCAGATGTAAATATAGAAACAAAGATGAATTGTTTGACCTTGTCAAAAGTCTCAATGTGGTGAAGAGAAAGAGGGTGGAGAGGAAAGGCCATCAACAACAACAAAAAGAGACTACCTAACACTGAGACTGAAATTTCCACGTGGAAATTCGTCATGGTTTTCCCAGGGGAACCACAGGTTGAAAGGTCTAGGGAGGGAAAAGGGAGGAGGCAAAATCAGTGGCAAGTTGTTTGGGAGTCACTTGTAAACAAGAGCAGTCTCAGTTCCTTGGATCTTAGTGAGCGAGCAACAGTCCTGTAATGAAAAATACAGTGGCATCCTCAGGATATCGACTTTTTCATTAAAATACTGCCCTTGCAAAGGGGATTTGTCTATTGCAGAGAGTGTTCTACATACCCTGTGCCCAGTGAAGTAGTTGGGAAAAATGGTTTCAAAATGCAAATAGTTGCATTTGCAGCTGCAGAATTAACGTCATTATTGATCTGTTTTTCTGAGAACTTGTAATCTTCCCTTGGGCTGCTTTTATCTGAGCACTCATCTCTTCCTTCTCATAACTCTCTGGCTGCTCTCATTCTCTCTTTCCCGATTTTTTTTCAAATAGGCCCAAAGAGAAGTTGCCATTTATTCTGTTCTCTCAGTATGGCTGCAGGGCATGTAAACAAGTTAAATTTTGTTGAAGACAAAGGAGTTATTTACAGTACATAACAGTGGTGTTTTGTTTTGACTTTCAATTACATAAATCACATTGCAAATCCTTTTCCTTAAAAATGCTGGTTTTCAACTCAAAATGTTTGTTTTGGTCTGAAGCATGTGTTTCATGCATGGCCACAAAGTGATGATTAGTGTAATAGAACACAGAAAAATAATATGGAAACACAGATTCCCTAGAATATGAATCTTTGTTGGCACCTCGGATGTCTCTCTGCGACAGTCACACAACTGTTTGAAATGCTCAGGAAAGGCATTTGTGCCTAGGAAGGGGCACACAGGAAAAGCAAAGCAGAGCCATGGGAAGGGAATGTGCTGCCTGGCATCACAGCCAGCTGGGCCAGCCCTGGGGGGAGCTCACTGACTGAGGAGCCAAGTGATCCTGACAAAACTCTCAGAGCAGCAGCTCTCTTGCTCACCCTGCGACAGTTTAGCACCATTTCAGAGGGAAGAAAGGTTTATCACCCTTGTGAGTGCCCCCATACATCACAGACACTGGCAAACACAGCGCTCAGGTGATGCTTCCTTTGTGCCAAGAGTGATACCTTGAGTGACAAGATGAGCACAGGGGATGCTGCCCCTGCACACCTTCCTTAATGACTCCTCGCTCACTACTGTTTAAATGGAAAAAATATAATTTATTCTGGGAAGATCTCTGAGTCACCTGTCACAAGAGCACAGTTTATGAACCCTGTAGTAGCTTATTTAATGTTAAGATTCAGCATTTTGATTCTCAGTGCTTCCAGCATTATGGCTGTGTCAGGGAGTAGATTGAATACAATACTGGAAATACTGTAACACTGGGCTGAACTTTCTGGTGAGTCTGGAGCAGGAGGCAGACCACATTCAGTGAACTACAGCTCACCTGCCTAGAACCCATCAGCTTCACCAAGCCTTCTACCTGAAGAGGAGAATTCTCTCAACCTCTTTGAAAATCAGAATATTTTTCTCTTCTTTGCAAGAACTTTTGTCTTCTTTGCAAGTTCTTTGTCTTTCCGTGACAATTGAACAGGAACAAACAGCGGTGTCCCAAAGGATGACTGTGCCCAGAGACAGAGGCCACCTCTTATCTGAAAGGACTGAGGGGTGGGAAGTCTCTGTTTACATGAACTGAAGAGCTACTGGGATATTAAGAGAAGTGAAGAAAACACTGCAGAGATTGGATCAGACTAGGAATAGGAAACAATTCTGTATCAAACCATTTCAAATGGGAGTGTTGGCTGGATGCATTTATCCCACTGGAGCCCTAGGGATTCACCAGGTACAAAATCTCCTCAACAGTAGTGCCTGTCACATGCTCATTAAAAAAGGAAAGAGCTTTATAAAACTTTATTAGCTTTATAAAAGCATTATGTGATCTGCTTTTGAAGCCACTGAGAATTTTTCCAATACTCAGGGTCTTGGGTTGCTGTCTGAATGAAAGATATGACAGAAATTAAAAAGTCAGCAGTACCTTACAGGAACACATAA